GAAATGTGGTTTTAGTTTTTCGCAAATAACTTCGACAAAAATGGTCCTAGAGCTACGGCAGTGGTACCATCGCATTCGCCTTGTCAAGCCGCGTCGAATGATATATATTTTGTTCGGAAAAGGTCAAGTTTCATCTTAACCTCATGTGACCTCGAATGACCTCTGGTTGACCTTGACACATCAAAGGTCGTTTATGACGCTGATCACGAATCTGGCATCTATTTTCCTCTAGGCCTTCATTTAGAGCTTCCAGATGGCAAAATTGTCTTATTTATTATTACTTACTTGAATCAGTGAAATAGCCTCTAGCAGGGATACTCTTCTGTGACCTTGACCTTTGAGCAGCCTTGTATCGTAAGATGAATCACAAATAGGGAACTGATAAGCCTCAAAACATTTCAAAACATCTTGGAAGTTAGCACGCAAAATGTGTGAAAAAGTGCCAAGTTTGAGGTCAATTTTGAGCGTGACCTTGACCTTGACCTTTGATTTGGAGCACATTTGCAGAATCCTCAGATTCTCTTCTTTCGTTTGACACCCAATTTTGCCGGTTTGATGCAGCCTGCCGTCCTCTAGAAGGCTTACTTTGAGATCACTACACATGTGCCGGTTTTGGCCTTTGACCTTGACCTCTGACCTTGAAAATTGACCTGAGGTCAAAAATTTTAGGTGCATTAGAATTGTCTCGTAAGGACCTTTCGTTTGGTATCGCTTTTGTTTCCGTAGCTCCCTTATTTACGGAGTTAGACAGGGGGGGCGAAAAACGCCCCCCCCCCGGGCTGCGGTGGTTGGGATTACCCCCCGGGCCCGGCCGGGTTAAACAGCACTTTATTCAAAGTGTTATATTACACAATGTACCTAGCACACTAAGCTGAGGCAATACACTCAAAAGTCAAAAGTTCCAGAGCAGGGTCGGGTTATTGGTAGGTAGGTATGTAGCTATCAACAGTTTTATCCATAGATAGACAGATACAGTCCTACGGAAATGAACTTGAACATTCATATTCTAGCTGCTCTGACTCCGCACAGGGATGGAAGTCTGTATAGTTTCGTAATCGTATATATGACGGTCTCCCCGTTACGAGACGCAGCGACTGGTACCCGATTTTAACCCTCGCCAGGCCAGTGCCTTTTCCATAACACGGACGGCCATGGGGGGGGGGGGGAAGGGGTCTTATTTTTTCATCACAGGCAGTGGCGTATCCAGAAATCAGCGAAAGGGGGGCATGGTGCTCGAGGGGGCGACTTTTTCCCTTGAGAGGGGCGCCATTGTCAGCTCGCGACAGGGCGTCAGTCTAAAATGTAACGTCATGTTCATGCATGATTTATTAGGTGCTGCAAAATACGTGTATAAAAACTAGGTTTCGCTGATTTGTCATAAAATCCAATTAATTCAATTTTCAGCCCGGTGTTGTTTTATCAATAAACCTTGATCTTGATGAATATTTAGCACGATATAGGAAACGAGCTCAGGCTCGTTTCGAAACGGTAAAACATACACTGATCGATGAGCACATTTTTTATTCTTTGCAAAAAAAAAAAATTATACAGGTTCACTCACTGATCCAAAGTGACCTGTGGGCTGCAGCCTGTGGTCGACCGGAGTGGCCGTGCTTAGAATCTAAGACCGCACGTAGTATGAAGGATTAACGCTGCGACTTATTGCCGAAATTGGAATCCAGGAAAGACTTGAACATTTCAGACCATAAGATCCACCATAAGATCCCATTCCCAACTGATTGTCATACTAGCAGCGACTGCAGTCAGAGGTGACCGAACGCTTACATACTAGAGATGTCAATCGGATACCAACTTGTTGGTATACCGATACCAAACCGATACCAACTCGGTATTTGGTATTTCAATCCTAATGTGTTTGGTATTTGTTGGTATCATGGACCCTCGCTAATGCTTAAGAGGCTAAGAAATCGGTAAAAAGTTGGTATTTTCCTCATGTTCCCAAGTTGGTTTGGTCTCGGTATTTCTCCACGGTTTTGATTGGTATTTGGTTTGGTATCGGTATTTCGATTTTCCGTAACTGACATCACTATTACATACGTTCTGGATTTTTTTCTCCACAAATCACCTTAACCCGCACCCCGTTGGGGTCTGCCGAGCAACGCGCCCTGCTGAGGGGGAGCCAATTTGCCCCCCCCCCCCCCTAAGATCTCGAGAACCACGCAACCTAGCGACAAGCGGCAAACGGTGTTGGATAGCCCCATCAGGGAACTACCTTGTGACCCAATTTTATTGACCTAGGTCAAACCGATGACGTCACAGGTCAGGTCAAATATCGAATTTTCACCGTTTACAGACATTTCAAGAAATGCGTTGTAAAATCGAGTAAAATGCATTTCAATGAAAATCATCGATGGGGAAATGTTCTTCAAACACGTATTTTGCTATTTGAGGTCACTGATACCAGGTCAGGTCACAGAGCTCAGGTCACTGAGGGTCACAATATGATAATATCATGTGATGCATGTTTTATGGTCCATTTTATATGCCAAATACGATTATTAGGGTTAGGCAGCCTTTGAGGTCAGTTAAGATTATGTTCTGGTGAAGGTCAGGTCAGGGTCAGGTTAAGGTCAGGTCAAATAAGGTCAAATTTCAAAGTTGATATTTTTGCATAAAATGGGCATCGATTCGATGCAACTCGTAACGGGGAGTTCAATGGTGGTCTTTGTTTTGCGCTACGTGGTCTAGAATTGCTAAAAAATTGAGTTCAAAAATTTGATGTCATCAATTTTAAACAGTTTTTTCGCTATAACTTGGCCAAAAAGGAGATGTCGATCAAAAATTTGGTATGTATATAGAAGAGCACAGGGACTATCACATATATTCCGGTTTTTTTCGCAATAAAAAAAGGATTTTTTTTTGGTTTTTCTAAAAAATCAATTTTTTTGATTTTTTTTTGGTCAAAACCCAAAATATTGAAAATCCGAGATAGAAGTTTTGTAGCGCCGCTTTTTGTCTACATGACCATATAAAGAACTTTGATATTGCTTAGTAACTGTAGATTTGGTGAGCGTTTCAAGATTGCATGTTTTTTGCTCATGTTCGCTCGAACATGACCTCAGTTTGACCTCAATAACTCCTAACCTAAGGTGACCTAAGACTAGAAATTTTGTGTGAAGGTGTCAAATTGATGTCGCCGTTTTCTTGCTATTCAGGAAAAACCACAGGGGGGGGGCAAATTGCCCCCCCCAAGCGGGGCTAGGGTTAACCCGCGCCGGGCCGGCGCTCCGAGATTCCGCGCCGGGCCGGGGGGGGGGGTGTCTGAACACACCTCTTCTAACTTGGCTCCTGGGCCACGTAGCGGCACGCGGTAAGCGGCAATCGAAAGTACGTCTAAAATAAGAACGAAAACACTTCGGTCATTTTTTGGGTCAGGTCAAAGGTCAGGTCACCAGAGGTCACCAAAGGTAAAAATGTTGACTATTTCAACATTTTGGAAACTGCCGACGGCTATCTCGGGAACCGATAGAGCTATAGCGCCGCGGAAAAGCGCATTCGATAGCCCTTTTACAGACCTTTCTGAGTAATGGTCTCAGATTTGACCTCAGGTCAACGATTTAGCCTCCAGAGGGCAAAAACTAAAAAAATAGCCGTTTTTACGAAAACCGTTTTTTCGGCAATAACTTTTGACTCAAAAGAGCCATGGACTTTAACCAGCATCGTGTTCCTCTTGTCGAGACGCGTCGAATGAATTATAATTTGACCTTGAAAGGTCAACTTGAAAATTTGACCTTAGGTCAAGGTCATGACCTTACCGGAAAAGGTCATGTTGCATATCAGTCGATCCGCAACGTCGAGCCTAACACACCTAAGGCGTTTTCAGCGCTCTAGCACGCCTCTATCAGAAGTTACTAGCGAAAAACTGTTAGATTCTGTTCGTGACCTGAGATGACCTCGGGGACATAACGAGGGGTCACAGTTGCCATTTTTCGGTTCAGTGTGTCAATTTCACCTACATCTCGATGTTTGAGAGTGTCTAGAATAGCGTTCGTGCAAAACAGACGCTTTTCAATTTTCTCTCATTGAGTCATAATGGAGAGGTCGCAAAATTGACCTGACCTTAGGTCACTGATATCAAAATTCCGAGATGAACATTTTATAGATAATGCTGCTCTTATTAATCGCTGAAAGTTTGAAGGCAATCAATCAGTCGGTGTAGCTATGACGAGCATTCTTATTTTTTCTGAGGTGAGGTCACTTGGCGTGACCTGGTGACCTGACCTAAGGCGACCTGGGTCTGAAATTTTAACAACCTGTGCGGAAAAGATGCACAAACAGGTGTGCCAAAAACGGCGGCCCTCCGCGCCGCCGTTGTTGAGATATCTGCGCAAAACCGCAGGGGGGGGGGGGGGGGTGCTCAACCACTCCCCCCCGGCCCGGCGCGGGTTAAGCACCTGGACAATTTTGTTCAGTTGGCAGCACAACAAAAGTTCAGGGAAAGCGAGATAAAAAGGTCACACACTGACATACACGACAAAAACCAGGCAAACCAAACACCGTTTGTTAATTTTCAATTCGGTGATTTGAAAGCGGTACGTCAGTTTAAATGAACCCACAAAAAAGAGTTGACTTCGAAAAATACATAGAGGTATGGTTATATCATATTATAAACCGAAGGAGGGACAATTGCTCACCGAAGTGTCACTGCGCCTACTGCGCAAGTATGCGCAACGTTTGGGCATTCTTGCAAACGTTGACACAAACAATTCAAATGCAGAAATGATACGACACCACCAAACCACTTGAGCGCCGCCAACATCTCCCCCGTCGGGCCCCTATGGTGACCCATGGGGACCAGCCGCCCAATCTGTCGTGACGATTTTCTCACGCTGTCGACGCGTGACCGAGCGGCGCCGCTGGCCCTGTGGCGGCGCCGCCGAGAGCCGGGAGGTGGCTCCTCTCGGCGCGTCGGCCGCCCGATCTATATTGGCGCGCCTGGCCGCGGCGCCGGCGTCGTTGGCGCTCTCCGCCGCAGTCGACGGCCGCGCGCGACGCCGGCGACGGCGGCGACGGGGCGGGCGGCGCGTCGGACCGAGCGGGGCCCGCGGCGGCGACCATGTGTGCGGGCGCGGCGGCGCTGCTGTGGCTGACGGCGTGTGTGCTCTGCTCGCCGGCGGCAGGTCTGCTGTGCACGTTCGAGGACGATACGCCGTGCGTGTGGCGATGGAACAGCACTCTGCTCAGGGTGACCGGACGCCAGGCGGAGGAGATGGTCACCTCGCGGCCCGCCGGACAGATGACGGCCACTCTGCGAGACGCCGATAACCGCCGGGACGGTGAGTGTTTGCGCGGTGAGGTCGGTCTGGCCCCCCGGCAGCGTCCTCCGGCAGTCTGCCGAACTCCGGATCGTTTACCTCTCACCGGCCGCGCCGGAGTGCTCCCCACATCACAGCGTGGTACCCGTTATACAGTGTAGTATATGTTTACTTTGGGTATGGGAACCGGAATGTTTTTTTTTTATTGTTATAGAATGAAATTGAATGTGCCAGTGCTATATTTCAGGGTTTTGAGGTATGTTGCCGCCTTGCACCGTAAGCCAGCTTGCGCATTTCCTACGAGTATCTGCGTGATTCAGCTTCATTTATCTCACTTTACACGAAGAGCAGAGGAATGGGAAATAATATCCAACCCCGTTTTTATTTATCAAAATCATCGTCTAGCCAGACTCCACCCCGTGCAATTCACCTTCACACGATCTGCATTCCCGCTTTATGCAAAACCAACACATCCGCTTTATATAGACCGTTCTGCAAACGCACAGCCTCTCATCTCCCGCTTTACGAAACCACCAGTTTTTTCGTTGCTCTACAAAGCTAGCACTTTTCACATCATCTCCCTACGGACATAGCAACTAGAGGTGGCAAAACTGGAAAATTTTGGGACTCGGACCCGGACCCGGTCTGACTGGCACATTTCTGGAACCGGTCAGACCCGGTCTAAGTCAGCGTTGGAACCAGATGGACCCGTTCCCGAAATTCATTATGAAAATTGTGTACAGTTGTAGGTATAGCAAAAGAAAATAGTTTCTTTCCAATTGGGCATACTTGTGTTGCAAAGTAAAAAACTCATGCCATGGTCATTTCACTTTGCTTCACAGTTTGTATTTTGGAACCAGATTCAGGTCATATTTAAGAATATAAGAAGTAAGTAGACCAATGAATTTCATGCTAACCTAAGCCACTTTTACTACAGCTGCTAAAAATGATGTGAACTGGGGATCCATGGACCAGTGCCTTCACCAGAGTCAGAACAAGAACCTAACATCAACATGGAACAAGATAACCATACTGATACATACCTTTTCTAATATTCTTGGTAAAAGATATTCGTTTTTAGAATTAAATTCATTAGTCCTTACAAATATTATCAACTATCAAAGGCCCCAAACGATAAAACATTCAAAATCAAAATAGAAACATGAAAACTGTGTGAGGTTCGCCAGAAATGTCGACACGATAGCAATGCAATGACAAAACAGGCGTTAAATCACTGCAAAATTTTGTTGGGGTTAAAGTACTGCAAGGTCGTAATGGCAGTACTGCAAGTTGAGGTTGCGATCATGACTTAAGTGCCAATTTATTAACGTAGAAAACAAACTACATTTTGTTGTTAGTACCTAGACATAGAATAAATAGTAATACCAAGGGTTCTGAGACTTTCTTCCCGAACGTGTTCCAAAATTGTAATCTTTATGCAGTAGATTAGCGTGCGTAAGGTATAGCATATATGACGCTCAAATGCGCCATTTTCACATCAACACGGAATCACTGGCCTTGGAGAAGGGCACTGGTATTGACTCAGTTTTTTGTCAGCTGCTGCCGTATGATGGCGCTAGTAGAGCGCTATATGTATAATACGCTCTGCTAGCGCCACCATGCGGCGCCAGTTGGCTAAAATCTGATCAATACTACGGTTTCTGGAGAATGCCTTGGATTCATTTTTAGCTTTATGGATTTATGCAAGGGCATGTTGGTTTTATGAGTTGTCTTCTGGCCGTGATAGAAATAATTTCAAAGCTGTTTGAGTTATGAAATGCATTTGAATATCAAACATGAACTCTGATTTCCGGTGGGCATAGTGACTTTGGTATGTCAATGTCTTTGAAAAGGCAGGTGAGAATGCCACTGGTCAGCCTTGCTTCAATTGGATTTGTGTCCATTTATAAATGGATTTCAGTCATACCTACTTACCTACATATGTTATTGGTATTTGATTTCTACAGCTCAAAATATTGCTAGGTGCTGTACAGCAAACTGAATGGAAGTGATCCGTACAAACATTTGGATTTTGGTGAAATGTTTTCTGGATTGCTAGCACTTAGAACTTGTTTATTCTGTTGTAGGTGACAAGATAAGAAATTGAAGCAAGACTGACCAGTATCAGTATGCTATAGAATAGGTAGCCCAATCTGCTGGAATATTAAAATTCAAAAGTGGAATTGGGTTTTATGAACTGGAAACTGCATCAACTGTGACTATGTTTGCCAAAGCATAAAAGATATTAATGTTTACCATATAGCACAGGGAAATGATAGGACCCGGTTGGACCCGGCCAAATATTTTGGGGGACCCGGTCTGGACCCATCCGGGTCCAGACCGGTTCCATAGACCGGGTCCCCGGGTCCACATTTTGCCACCTCTAATAGCAACTACTCCCAAACCAAAACCAATCCCACCCGGTCAGTGCCCTGCTCTACAAAGTCCCGCCCTACAATACTCACTAAACCACTGCTCTACAAAAACCACACCTCCCACCCATCACAAGTCATCTCCATCTCCCCACACCACCCACACCCCATCTCCGGCCTCTGGCGTTCCCCGGCCGTTATTGCGCCGCCCATGGTGACCTTCCCCTCCCCGCCCCTAGCCTCCCACCGGCTGCCGGCCTCCTTTATTCGCTCGCCCGGCCGGATATTCCCAGTTGGTGATGGTTGAGAGCGTCGGTTCCGACAGAGGCAGGCCGTCGGTGCGGCGGTCCGCTGACAAGAACCGACTCTGCGCAGCGCCCGCAATCGCCGGCCGACTCAGCGTGCCATTAAACATTCACGACTGGACGATGGATGGTCTGGGCCTGGGGGCTGACACGCATTGGGGCGACAACAGAATCAGACATTACCGAAAGTAAGGGGTGGCGGGGAGATGCGTTCGTTAGAGATCACATAGACACTCCTTCGCCCCCAAAACCGCAGAAATGAGGCACCGCCCAGGCTAATAGATGAGCCGTTGAAACTGGCGTTTAGAACGTTATCTGGCGTATAATAGCATTGCTTGGAGGCTTTGTGGCAAATTGTGTAAAGGCTATTTTTGCTAGAAGTCCATTTTCATTTTAGTTAGTGTTACAGTAACAGATAACTTTCAATGGAGATATTCCCACAACGCGCATTATCACAGCTAATAACGATATTTTCTAAAGCTGGAAAGGTTCGTTGGGTTTTCCATTCGCACTTCCCAATTGCTGTTTTTGAAACGATTTATGCCATTTTGTGAATCATTTATACCATTATATGAGCAGATGCTGAGAGCCTGGAACCTCGGCTGACTAGGACTGTAACTGGTGGTCAAAGGACGGCTCCTTATCACATTAATCCCTAAAAGAGCCCTGGGACACATCTAAAACATCTAAGAGATCTGGGAAGAGCTGAACATCAGATACTCAAACTTGGGTATCTGAAGCCAACGGTAGAGGCGGTTTGCGGTTTTTTTCCTGTCTTCACTGATGACAACGTTTGACATCTACACAATTACATGCTGACATAAATATACAAGCAGTCGATGCAGGGTATCAGTCGATGCAAATCACACACTTCACAAAAACGAGACATAAAACATCATTCGTGTTGGTTCGGTCGTCTTCCTACAGAACGATACTTAGTTTAAACGCAGATGATCGGTCATTGATGGTCGGTTTCGCTTCAAATATGTGCAAAGATTCTAAAATTCGTAAATTGAAGTTTGAGCGTTTTTGATCTATGATTTTGAAATCGTCTATACTGAAGGGGGTGTCACATGCCAAAGAATGATCCCGTACAGACGATGCTACTGGACTGGATAAGAGTTCGCCCGTTCTGTGTGACCTACCCTTGTGCTGACAAACTCTGCTTTGGAGCCTAACATAGGTAGAATCTATGTAAGATCCTTCACACGAAGGACAACTGAACTTATAAACTACAGCAGATCGACACATTTTAGGGATAGAGTCCTTGAACTTGAACAGAGATCCAATAGTGAAGTTGTTTCTGAGAATGAATCGCGGGCTTAGATATGGGTAGTACTTTTGTAGGAGAGCGTTTATTTCATTTTTGAGCTTAATTGAGCGTTTTCCGAAAAACGGCAAAGTGAAAAAGCTTTCGAGTTTTTCAACCTGTGGTTGATTTGTGATAGTAATGAACCTTCTGTTAAGAAACTTGGCAATGGCGGCATCTACCAACGACCTTGGGTAACCGTTATCCAAGAAAAAAACCTTGCAGGGATCTTAGCTCTAGATCGAAGAGCTTGTAGCTCGAGCATAAGCGGTAGGCGCGATAAATAAATGACTGGATGACTACCCACTTGATGGAAAATGGGACGAAACTAAAGAAGCTCAATCCTAGTCCGGTAAAGGTAGGCTTGTGGAAAACGGAAGTCTCAATAGAAGAGCCAATACGTTTTATCTTGACATCCAAAAAGGGTAGCGTTTGGTTGGACTCTACTTCTTTGGTGAACTTAATCTTTGGATGCTGCTCGTTAAGGAAGGATAAAAACTTTTCTACATGAGTGACGTGTCGAAAGACCAGAAAACAATCATCAACATACCTCCTATACAGGACAGGACGAAATTCAGAAGGGCAGGTAGTAAGCCAATTCTTCTCATGAAAGCATAAGAAAATGTTGGCAAAGGTAGGGCCAAGTGGTAGGCCCATCCCTACGCCGTCAAGTTGTTGGTACAACTGTCCGTTGAAAAGGAAAAACGAGTTGGTTACTGACAAATCTAACATTGAGCGGAATAGTTTCCGAGGGATGCCACTGACGCTGTCAGTCTGGCTGAAGAGAGAGTTGATTGCTATGTCAACCGTTTCACCTACAGGTATGTTAGTAAACAAACTTTCAATGTCAAAACTGGCCATAACCATATCTTCGGAAAATGTGAAAGTTTTTAAATCCGTGACAAACTCGTAGCTGTTTTTAACGGTAAATTCATTCTCAGTAAGGGGAGCAAGAATTGGAACTAAGAACTTCGCAAGAGCGTAAGTAGCAGTGCCACAAGCTCTGAAAATGGGACGAAGAGGTAAGTTCGGTTT